ATTTTATATTCGTGTGTTGAAAAARTCYCTCACGAGTGAGCGTAGCGAATTATGTCGTAAAATRCCTTTTTTCTTACKTCTACTATAAAGAGAAACCTCGAATGTKWTATTTTCACTTGTAAACATATCAAGTCCACGAAATGGAGAAGTATAGGTATTTCATGATAATTACATGATAAAATATATCCGTTTTGATAAATGTCAGGCTGGGGGTATTTTCAGTGAACAAGTACAATGCTATTCAATCATTGAACTTTTTTTTTCTCGTTCTACACGTCCGTGAGTAAGATACTTAGATAGAATAGAGCAACTAATACCTAGAAGTAGTCCTCCATTATTGTTATCAATCTATTTTAATTTTCATTCCTTTTCCAGAAAGCAGAAGAAGAACTGAAAAAGAAACAAGAAGAAGCCAGAAGAGAACAAGAAAGACAAAAAGCAGAAGCCATCTTGGTWGAAGAATTAGAAAGACGAGAGAATAMTAAATCTCAAGGCAAAGATCTCCCAGTACCCCCTATTAATRCACCAGCAAYCCCCTCAGCTCCTCCTCTACAGTCAACCCTSATTGGGGATTTCCCTGCTCCTCCYACACTTGGCTCAGTAGRTGAAAGTACTATAMAGAAYSATGARAGTAGTTCTAGAGATCATGGGACACCGAATACAGATACCACATACACTGTCACAACTCCAAGCTTATATTCTTTGAGCGCTGGGTAAGTTTCAAGTTAAATACACAAATAGAGCGGATTTCGCATGAGTGGGAAACGGACGGTACTGTACTGTGACTGTAATTGTACTGTAACCAAATTCTAGTACCCCATTGGTTCACCAAAATTGTGCAGGCCAGSTACGGTAACTGTGCRGTRACCGTGCRGTAACGGTGTCCCACTCATACGAAATCCGCTCTAAGAAGCCCGAATAGGAAAATGGCTAGCTAGCTTTCATCCTTTTTTCCTCTTCAATCATTTCTGGAAATGTAATGCTGCMTAAAAGGCTATATAAAATACAACAAGACACGCCCACTCGTGAGATATCGATTGAACACTCGAAGATAAAATTAGTATTTCCTCATGCCCATGAAATATCCTCTATTTCGCGTTTTCGAACGACTGTAGCGATACGCAGACGATTACAGTCTCCTTCACGGTTACCTGGGTCATAGCCGTTCCTTTACATCAAAGCGAGACAACCCTCTAGCGTACAATGATAGATACTTGTAAATATCTGTCTGTAGGTGTGAAAGAAGGTTTCTATCATTGCACGCTCAACGGTCGTCTCGCTTCAATATAGAGGCTCGGCTACCTTTCAAGATGGCGCAGGGAACCGTGAAGAAGAATATTAAGACTAAGCCTAAAAAAGCGATAAATGCTTTTA